CTATGCTTAAGTTTCCTTCTTACTTCTTACAAAAATTGATTAATTAATAAAAAAATGTAAAAGTAAAAATTATCCTTCTTCACATCTTGCGCTCACAAATCATTATGGGAATATCCATTTACAGTTATTAAAACCTGAAAAAAGCATGTCTGCGATGTTATCGTCATGCGATGATTTGTAGACACTTTATTTTTTACCACGATATTTTCGACGACGATGTTTTTAAACTGCGAAGTTTTTGAACCGCTTTATTTTTGACGACAATGTTTTGTACCACGATGCTTTAGAACTGCGATGTTTTCTCTTTGCGATGTTTTCCCCCACAATGTTTTGTAGCACGACGTTTTTGCCTTGCGTTGTTTTCTCCGCGACGTTTTCGTCCGCGATGTTATCGGCGGACACCATTTCAGAAAGCAGCTATATTATGTAGTCAGCTGTAAAACGTTGGAAGTAATTGCTTACAAAATAAATAAGTTATCCCAATTCTTGGAACAGTCACGTATTCGAATATCTTATGGGTTTTAAGGTGTATGAGTCCCTTTAACAAATGGGACTATAATTCAAATTTAAAATAATACATTACAATGCAGATATTCTTCTCTATAGTTAAAAATAATTCGATTTTCTATACCTTGTTAAGAGAGTAAAACTGCGATAAGTTCAAATATAATAGTGCTTATAAAGTTCTGCGGTAAATGGGGGAATCATATTAAGAATCCGAGTGACGTTTTCCCATGAAGGAAAATCAAGGTTCGATGTGTGTTTGGTGATTTAAGTAGGATGTGTGCAAGAAAATCCAAGGTATTTTTGTAAAATATTTAAAAGAGTTAACAAAATCTGTGTTAATAGTATAAATGAATCTTACTGAATAAAAAGGGAGTGTTCTGAATATATACGTTTAAATGTCTGTAGAGTAAAATAATAAGAAATGAAGTACTATTGGTACGTATCTAAACTTAACTGGGTAGAAATGCCCCCATGCATTGGTTTGAGTGGACTTCATAACATGAAAAATTTATTACTCTTTATAAGATTTGTTCAACGTCAGTAGGTCTTGCAATAACGAAGTTAAATAAAAAAAATAACGAAGTTAAATAAAAACAATAAAGTCAATATTTAATTTTTGTTGAAAAGGAATCAGAAATACAGCATAAATATGTTTTATAAGTTAAATATAAGGGTAACTGTGTAAATGGAAAGCGTAAAATTTACATTTGTCAGACATAGTTTAGTGAATCCTTTGAATAAAGGTAAGACGTATAAAAGAGAATCCACGAAATTTTGTATAGTAGGCCAAAAAGTTAATACAGTCATTAATAGTTAGTGCAATACATTACACGAGAAAGTTCTGAGTATCTCCAACTTAGTAGTATAAAAAGTAAGAAATGTAGTATTCCAGTTAAACTATATAGAATGAACATTGTGCGCATTAGCTTGAAGTTACAGAAAATATTATCCCTCCAGTTATATGCATGTAAATTCCAACTTAAAATTTCGTAGACAGGGATATGTAGGTAAGTTTATTTTTGAGGAAATGGAAATGTAACATCATTGTATTTAAAACAAGGGGGAAAAGTTAAGGGTAAAATAAAAATGAAACAAGAAAAAAAATTTAAAGGAAAGAAAAAAAATTAAAATTTGCTTTTGGAAGTAAAATACATAAAGGAAAAAATAAAAACAAAAAACTGCATTTGTGTAAACCAAAAACTGAAATGAAAATAAATATTACTTTTGTAAAAAAAAAATAAAGTTAAAAATGCAGTAACAACTTTTTTTAAATAAAAAGCGAAAAGGAAAAAAATAAAATTTGTAAAAATAAATATATTCTTGTAAAAACAAAAAGAAAAAAGTTAAATGTAAAATAAATAAATAAATAAAGTAAAAATACAAAATAAATAAATTTGGAAAAAAAAAAAACTTTTGCAAAATAAAAATGAAAAGGAAAATTTAAATTCGTAAAAATAAATATTACTTTTGTAAAACCAAAAAAGAAAGTTAAATAAAAAAATAAAGTAAAAATAAGAAAAGGAATAAATTTGAAAAAAAAAAAAAAAACTTTTGCAAAATAAAAAGTAAAAAGAAAATGTAAATTCACTTTTGTGGAAATAAACGTCAATTTGCGAAAGTTAAAAATAAAATTTATGTTTGAAAAAGGAAAAAAATGGAATGAAAAATTAATAAATTAACTTTAGAAAGAATGAGAAGAAAAACGAAAACAATTAAAAATATCCCAATAAAATAAAAAAGAGAAATTTAAAATGTGGGAAAATCTTATATTTAAAACAGCAAAGTAATAATTTAGAAGCCAAAAGAAATCCTAGTCCGTTTCAAGAAACATAAACATGCTCATTGGTTACAAAAAGGATATTATTAGCAAGAATCTGATTGGCCATTAAGATTGTATTCGTTCGTTGTCGTGAAAAAACAAATGTGTGAAGCGGTTTTTCACGTCAAAGCAGGTTGGCACATGTGCAATCCTTCCTAGTGACATCATGGTGCACGATGTGAAATGCACAGAGAGGGAGGACAATGCGAAATAACAAGTTTTATAAGACGAAGAGGTACCTTAGAGGTAACGTTCTCTTCTCCCATGCAAGAGATGGCCGGTTAGAATCCCGCTCGTGGAGTTATTTTTAAAAATCGTAAAAGGTATTCATTAAATTACTATACCAAAATTACTTTAATTAATTTAATTACTTTATAATTAAAAATAATGGATTAAATAATTAATGATGTACTAAATAGTTAAAAATAATAGTTAATAATTAAAAAGTTAAAATTAATGACGTACAAAATAATTAATATTGATCAAGTGTTAAGTAATTAAAAAGCGTAAATAATTAAAAATAATAAAATAAAGCGAATATCATGCCAAACACGTGGTTCAAAAATTCTTGCCATAAACATAAAAAATATTGTCGTTGCCACAAAAAATAGGGCCGTTGCCACAGAATAAAAACGAAACTTTGATGATGTCATCCCATCCATCTACGTCACTTCCGGTTGTCATGTAATCCAAGATGGCGATGACCACGCCTCTTTTCTGCGACGTCACTTCCATTGGCTGAGGACGAGCGGTTACTACTGTCCTAACACTTATAAAAAAATCCTGAAAACTGTCTAACAGAAAAGGTTCTGAGGTGTTATCTGTAGATTAATTTATGTGTGCAGTTACATATTACCAAAATTAAAAATTTGCTAAAGTAGCATTTGCAGCTAAAATGTGGTGGATATTACCCCGTAATCTGACTTCAATCACTGATATTCTTTTCAGTTGCCGTATAAAGCATTTCTTTTTAGTCATCTGCGAATTCAAATTTGACTCCAGGTGACGACATGGTTCATTAGGAATTCCGCGCACAAGAAAACCTAATAATTTTGTAGTTCTACCAAAGTAAAATATAAAACATGTTAAACTCAAAAGTTTGAACAATCATTTAATATTCAGTAACAGTGAAAAATGCACTCATGGACAAAACAATTAGCGCACCAAGAAACAATTGCGGGATCGTATCGAAACTTGCACTGAAGGTACATGTCGAGGAGATATGCAAATGATTAGAAATGCAGCGTGATTGCGCAATTGCGTATAGCCGGTAGAGAGCGCTGAACGTCGTACTCTGTGGAGTATAAAACAGGTAACCAAAGCTTGTTTGAGTGTGCTGAATCATTTACAAAGAAAGAGCTGAGGTAGACATGCCATTGCGATGTGTTCGAAGACAATATGAGCAGTTGCCGCAGTCTGAGAGCGGGAGAATCATCGGGATGATGAAAGCTGGGTGGTCAGTACTCTGTGGAGTATAAAACAGGTAACCAAAGCTTGTTTGAGTGGGCTGAATCATTTACGAAGGAAGAGCTGAGGTAGACATGCCATTGCGCTGTGTTCGAAGACAATATGAGCAGTTGTCGCAGTTTGAGAGCGGGAGAATCATCGGGATGATGAAAGCTGGGTGGTCAGCTAGGCGAGTAGCTCGTCAATTAGGCCGCTCTGATTGTGCTGTGAGGAGGTCTTGGAAGGCTAGCATCCGATGCGGGCCAACTAAATGCCCAGCGGGGTACAGTAGTGCGGCGGAACAACACCTGTAAAAATCACTGACGAAGCTCTGGTGCTCCGTCCACTTTTCCCTGTCCCTGATATCGAGGCGCCTGTTACGTGTGCTGCCCTTGATGCCCACCCATCGACGCCTCCGTTTGGAGCGGTGTCAAGCACGAGGAAACTGGACTGCAGCAAAATGGAACCAGGTCGTCTTTAGCGACAATCCAGATTCAATCTCGGCAGTGAGGACAATCGTGTTGGTGTGTGGAGAGCCCGTGGTGAACGCCTCAAGACTGCCTTTGCTGTACAGCGACACATCGCTCCCACAGCTGGTGTGATGATATGGGGTGCCATTGCCCACAATACACGGTCACCCCTAGTATTGTTCCGTGGCACCATGACAGCCCAGAGGTATGTTCATGAAATCCTGCAACCAAATGTGTTGCCACTCATGCAACGGCTCCCAGGAGCCATTTTTCAACAAGCCAATGCTCGGCCTCATGCAGCAAGGGTGTCACAAGACTGTCTCCGCACTGTTACTACCTTCCTTGGCCTGCCCGATCTCCAAATTTGTCTCCAATCGAGCATATCTGGGATCATTTGGGATGACGAGTTGGGATCCCATGAGTTTGAACGAAGGTTACAGCAAATATGGAATGAAATGTCTCAAGACATCATACAGAACTTGTATGACTCAATGCCCGATCGTATCGCATCGTGCATTCGCGCTAGAGGGGATCCAACGGAGTATTAACTCCTCCGTTCTTTTGCCTTTTTCTCTGAAATAAATTATCCTTTTTCGTTGATTTTCTTATTATTTACCTATATCAACGTAGTCATTACGAATGTAAAATTTCGTTCCATTTTGATGACACGTTCTTGGTGAGCTATTTTTTTTTGTCCACGAGTGCAGTTTAAAAAATGCTATATTTATTACGTATGTATTTTCTAATTTCATTTTTAGTATTTATATGGGCAGAATCTATGTGGTGATTCTTGGGGATTTTGAAATTGTTAAGGAAGCGTTTAGCAAACCGACAACGACGGATCGACCATCGAAGCTGTTCGACTTTTTACCGGACGGAACAGGTATGTGTCTTAAATTTATTACTTTATGCATAAACATATCTGATCAAAAGAATAGGAATCAAAAGATCAAGGAATATTTTTTTGAAAATAGGGAATATTTTCCCTATTTTTTGACTTCACTGATTTGTTTGCTTTTTAGTCTATGTTTTATATGTTTGATCAGATAGCCTGGCTCAGTAAAAGTAGGCGGCCAGTTAAATCTGATTCAAAATCCGGTTTCGATCACGTGCAATGCTGATAACGACCACGTGTTTCTGAGACTCCTTTGCCAGTGCTTTATTTTTCTTCTTTTCCACCCTTTCTAGTAGTTTCGTTCTCCTGATGAGGAGGGACCTTTAGCTGCCCTCGAAATCGATTGAGTGTTTTAATATATGTACGCTAAATACAAGGTTGTTATTGCGATTTTAATTGTCACATTGATGTGTTTCTCTTCTATTCTAGTTTGTGCTTATCAACCGGCATTTTTGAGGAAATTCTACTTTATATCGTTTTACCACGTGCACCATTTTGATTTTTGTTGCTTCTGTCCACGTGGTTTTTGGTTTTCCAGAATTGGAAGTTTCTCTCCTTCTGAATGTTTGTTTTCATTATTGGTGTTTTTCTTGTTATAATTATTTGCTTTTTTGGACTTTCGCGTTTTTATTTCGTTTGTTTACTTGTTTCTTGCTTGTACCCTTTTCACAATATGTCCACTGACAACAACCGATGTTGTAAGTTACTTAAACGTATGAAATTCTTGAATCATCTGCAGTTTCTACTTAAATGCAAAAATCAAAACATCATTCTCAAATTTATACATGTGTAATGTAGCCTAAAATCTTCCGTTCACGTTTCGAAATAAATTTCTTAAATATTATCCCAACATTGAATGATTATTAAAAATTGCCAGTACACAACAAATCAAGCTGTTACATCGTTTAATTTTTGGCATGGATAGCAATAGACAAAATTGCGCTCGATTGCGTAAATTTTCAGGATTTCCCAAACCATTTAACTTAGAAGATACAAAGCAAAAAGTAATAATATAATTTGCACTTACGGATCTAATTGCTGTATGTAATTTACTATACTTATTATTTTCTACTGATATTGAGAAGTGTGCTAACGCTATTCTTACAAATCTTACTGGCATCTCACTATTAAAATCAGATTTGTCTGACGTTAGTAGAGTTCATCACGAACTTCTGGTGGAAAGTTCACCCCCCCATGGATATCGTTGCAAAAGCGAGCATTACTCATACAGTACATACAAAAGCAGATGAATCTTTATGGTCACGTTCATTCCAAGCGTCCCGAACGTTGTGGTAGTTTTAACACGGTATCTGCTAACTCTTCTACATCTGATGGTACTGTAAATGCACGTTTTACTCAAAAGTTTTCTAAACGTCCTATGCATGTTGACATTCAACTTAAAGGAACCCAGTTAACTGCTCTTTATGACATTGGATCACAAGCAACGCTTATTAATAAGAATACCGCAAGGTTGGTTCTCCATCATTATATTCCTCCAAAATAACATTTTCAGAAATTCGCCGAGACACAGTTCAAAGCATTGGATTCTTTCAGAACTTCCTTGAAATTCAAAACATTATTTTACCTACTAAAATCCATGCACTAAGAGATAAACATGATTCCTCTTGATGCAATTATTGGAATCGACGTTTTGAAATAAACTCAATTTACATTTTTTAAAGACGGTATTCATTTATGCAACAGAAATGGTGATGAAATTTTTGTTAACATTGCTAATGTCATCGCTGATCAACCCTTTCAGGTTAATCTTTCACTCATCTCGAACTTTGAAATTCGTGAGGAAGTTCAACATATCGTTACATCTTACAAACCACATAAAGTTAATACTGTTGTGAAAGATTTTAAGGAGAGGAAAGAAAAGGAAAATCAATTAAAGAAAACAGTTAAGGATGAAGAAGATGATGATGATGATGATTTGGATTTGGATGATGATGACATGGATGAAGAAGAAGATGATGATGATGACAATCATGAAACTAAAGAAGATGATGACGAATTGGATTTGGATGAAGATGATGATGTTGACAATAATGATAATGAGCAAAGTGTGCAGAATACTGAAGAAGCTGTGAAAAATAAACTGAATCAGTTAAAACAAGGTTAACAAAAATGTGCTGAACTAGCAAAAGAGAAAAAAACCTAACAGTGCAGAAGATCCCAAAGAACAGAAACTAGAGAAAACTGTGAAGCCGGAGACTCCAAAAATTGAAAAAGGAAGCGTCTATCTGGAAAATGTGCCTGTGATATCACTACAGGAGAAATCAAAGCTTTGTCTTCTGATATTTTAAATATTGCTGTGCAAAAAAAAAAAAAAAAAAAAGGTGCAAATAAACGACAAGTATTATATGCATTTTTACAATTTAATAGTGAAGCTAATGCTGAAAAAAATCACAAGATTTTGCAGGAGAAAAATTACAACTTAAGCCTGTTACAGTAGATTTTCTTTTTGCCAAATGCAAAAATAGACCAAAAGCAGCAAAGGAACAGGAAGCAAAGAGATATAATTTGAGGAAATTATTTGTCTCTTGCATTTCAGTCGATAACAAAATTTCTCAAATGGCTGAATTTTTCCGAAAGCATCTCGGATAACTCTTAAATTTATCACCTATGTATCGAAATGCTACAATAAGTTATATACAGGAAAAAGATGCAGCTGAAGCTGTTGACACAACAAAGAATGTCGAAATAGCTGGGAGAAAAATTACTGTTTTGTATTCTTCAGCTGCTTCAAGCCCAAAGAAAGGCAAGAATATTATCTGGAAGCGTAAACGAAGGAAATTTGATAAGACTCTAAAGAAAATTAAATTAGAGACACAGCGAGATGATAAAAATATGCATTACGCATTGAAGCTCAACAGAACATACCCCGTTTACAGGAAGAAAACATACGACAGTATAAGAAGCGTTGCAAACCTGCCTGTAAATACAAGCTCAGAAACCAAGTGGCAATACAACGCTCCAAGTTTGGACATAGATTGAAACTTCGTCTCAGATTCTTCGGTCCTTATGACGTAACGAAAGTTCATCCATCTTATCGTTACAAAGTACGAAAGATAGGATGGCATGAAGTCCCTAACATAAGGTCAACCTCTGCTGATAAGATGAAACGACAGTGCAGAAACTGGACCGCCACCAAGGCATTGATTTCCCCCCCTCACTTTTTCTGCTTCTTTTCCCCCCCCTCTTTTAAGGTCTCTTGTCTTCTTCAACCAGCTGTGGACGTCCGGTACTGCAGAATGGCCGTGCGGTTATAAGGTTCTTTTTACGTCTAAGAATGGAAACGCGCTTACCAGCAAGATCACATGACCACTTCAGAAAGGATAGACATAAGCGATGATGAAGTTTGAAAAACCAAGAGAACTATGAATTCTTTTTATGACGTGATTCCGCTTAATATGATATTATTCTGTTTTTATGGTGTCATGGACAGACCTTTTCTCTTCTTATTTTTTTCTTATTTCATTTTATGTTATTTTCGTGTTAATTATGTTCGCGCGTTTTCGTCATTAAATTACTAAATATCACTACCATTGTCGTCAGTAGCACTGTTCCTATAGTTTGTAAATACACCTACATCCTACATATATATCATGTAGAAAAAAATTCTATACAGTACTTGCAAATACATAAAGATGATACTTTACATTTTCTCATGCTATATAAACGGTTCATATCTCTACAAAGATCTTGTCTTCGTTGTTCATGAGGAATCTCAGGATTTCCCTATCGAAAGCAGGCATCGGTAGATGTAGCGCTTGGCATCTGCAACTTTCGTCTGACCCCACATTCACACTTTACATTCGCTCTGAGGAACATCTTGATATAGGACGAAAATTTTTCGTGGTATTTCATCAGTGCGTCAGCAATGAATCTGTCTTCAAGCTTTTTTAAGGAAACCTTTGGAAAATTTTCATATGCTTCTCTTCCAATATTACCTTTGTTCCAGTTAGTCTGCCCAAAGTTTCAAGCACGTGTTTGGCAACCTTAATCTTTACTAGTATAACTTATAGATATAGGAAGATGATAATCTACATTCTCCTTTCTGGCAGCCTCCTTAGTAGCATAATATGCCGTCTATGCCAATATATCCATGGTATTACTTAAGCGTGAGTAAGCGAAGCTTGTTTTGCGTAATATTAATTCCCACCATGTTCCCATTAGCTCGTAGTTTTTGCATCTCTATAGTTTTTCCCGTTCCTGCTACAAATACCGCTCCTAATTGGTCCGCGTTTTCAGAAGAAGATTTTTAGTCCCAACCTTCTGTAGGTAGGTTAAAAGTTATAATCTTAAAACATTGCGTTAACATCATTATGTTCTTACAAGAATATATTTCTGAAGTCTTTCTCTTAAATTCTTATGTTCAACACGAATATAAATAAATAAAAAAAATAATAATAAAACATTTCATCAAATATCAGTATTTTAAGTTAATTTGTTCACTTACAATTTTAATTTATTGGGGCAATGAGCATTTTATTGTATGAGGCAAAGACAATTAAATTGGAATAAAATGGATAATGGAAATGAATTTATGAAAGGAGTCTTAAATATTTGTTAAGTAAAGAAGAAAGCATCAAATTAAAATAACGAATTTTCTAAAGAAGAACTAAATGAAACTCGAAGCTTTTAATGTAGCCCAGATTTTACTCTTTAATTCTCTGATTTCAATTCATCTGAGATTATTTTTTGAATAATGCAGGGTTTTGACACTCTAATTGCTAAAACGGTACATATATTAATTACCGTTTAGGGGCTGAAATACAAATTGCCAAAAAACTTTCAATGAAATGATTACAACTCATTTTTACCATTAACTTTACTGGAATACATTTTACAGTTTACAAAACTTTTTATGCAGGTTTTTCAAGCGTAAATGGAAATGAATGGGTACAGCAGCGAAGGTATTGCGTCCGAGCCATGCGAGACCTTGGATTGGGAAGAACTGCATGGGAGACTCTAGTACAGGTACAGTTGCATTTCATGGAAATCATGTTCCGAAAGCTAAATTATTCGAAAAGCAATTTAATATCTACCCAGACGTAATCAATTAACACAATTCTCTGCATTTCTATAAATTATGAAGTATTTCAGTATCCATTAATAACCAGTAGAGGAATTTTACGAAGAGATGAAATTTCCGTGAATCATGACGCTGATGTGATTGCAAATTTATATACTTGATATTGAAATTAGAGAAAGAAAATTGAAAATATTTGATATTATATAAATTCATGTTCTTCATAGGTTCCAAAACTTTTCCTAATATTCTTTTTATGTTTTTATAAACTATATTACTTTGCTTTCAGAGACTCAAAATTGGATATGAATCTGTTACTGATAATGTAAATATAAATATAAGATCTAAGTGAATTAATTCACATGGCAAGCTGAATAACACGCGTCTCCCATGTATTTGTCTGGTTAAAAATCAGAGTAACATAGAAAAACGATAAAAGTCGAAATGTTGATCTGATCTTTCTTTACTTGCCGAAAAACCTAAATCTTATAGCTCACTCCCGATTATCTGGCTTAAAGCAGATAACATAGAATTATTGAAGACTGACTGCTGATGTAGACCCACAGAAAAAAGGTAACGGTATTTTATTGTTATAAACATAAGAACGCAAAAGCGGAGTGAATTATTGAATACTGAAATCAGCATGTAATTTTATATTTTTATGCCTACACTAATAAAATTTTTGCTTTATAAAATAGATTCGCTTAAGATATACCCATAAAAGGCGTATAACAGAAAAAAAAAAAAAAAAAAAAAAAAACAAATATTGTGATGATAAGCAAAGGAAACGCTAATATGTATTTTTTAAGTTCGGCATAGTACTTCAAAAAAGGTAGATGGTATCATGATTAGGATACTCGGTCATAGTTGCTGTTTTCGAAATTGTAACTCATTTGCAAGCTATAGGACAATATGTTTGGAGTAAAGCACATATTACAGTAATAATAATACGTAAGTATTATTATTATTGTTATTCATTTCTAGAGTGAAGTATGTTTTTATGATATGCTGTATTACCGGGACTTTGCTGCATATTGCGTTAATTTTAGTATTGAATCTAATGAAAAACTAACGTCTCAATTCATTTTAAATAAATTTAAAGAGACTATGGGGGATAAAGAATTTCCTTGTTTTATTTTACATAATAAAAATAGAAACTCATTTTATGTTTTTAGTTTTAGGGTGACGTTGAATAAAATTTAATTTCATTCTTTTATTAATTGAAGTAAAAATTTCCATGGGCATTTACGTAAATTAAAAAATAATCTCATTTTTTAATTTTATAGGAAATTTGTATTTTGCATCTTACTTCCTATCAGCAACTGAGCGGTAACATCGCTGAACACTGATAGTTCGACTTAGGTTCGATTCCAGGCGAACGGGCTGACGGCTTGGTCGTTTTCGTAATTTTCCCCATGTGTAACATGGAAACAAGCCAGTTTCCCTTTAAAAGTCCTCCACGATAGCATCCCTTCTCTTAATTAGATAACAATCGATTACTTTGCTGTAATCAAATAAACCATAAACTATTGCATCTTACTTTTCGGAAATATTTTTTAATTATAATAATGCTTATAGTTATGAAATATTTCTAAATAAATAAATTTGCTGATTTATTTAAAAATATATAGCAAACGTTGTTAGGTAAAGAAGCACAAACAGTTATTTGGATTTCTTAATATCAGATAGACTTCGACCACTGTAGGAATACAGATTATTGTTATGTGACACAATAATATACCATTTTTATGCAGTGTGTCTTGTCACATATTTTTGATGTACGTACGATGCACAGATTTTTGTTTTTAAATATGTCTCGTGAAGAAAATAAAGGTAGAAACAGAGAAAACTGAATGAGGAGTAATTATATAAATGCTTGCATTAATATTTTAGAGCATCTGACATCCAACAGTAACTCTTAAGGGAAAAAAATGAAAATATCTAGGGTAAAACATATGTTCATAACCTACTGGGAAATTCTGCAGCCGATAAAGTTTAGTTAACATAGAAAAGATACTTTTTTAGGTTAAATTATTTCAATAAACAAGGAAGAAAATAGAATTACATACTTTATAAACATTTTATTGACAATAACTTAATTTGAAAGCAAGAACATTATTATTAAAGATTAAAAAAATGCTTAACTTAAAACTCGTCGATAGGCAAATCTGACGCATGTATCTTTCTGCAGGAGCTTGTTTGGCGTGTGTTGTTTTGTGTCAGAAAAGATTTTAATTCGCTAAGAATGATACATTAGCAGCAGTAGTTCTGTGAAATAACATTTTTCAATTAGGATTTTAGCTTACGTTCTGCACTTTACTTTTAACATTGAAAAAATTAACATTGAAACATTAACATCACATAAAAATTCATATACCTGATTAATTTGGCACTCATGAAAACTGAAAACCAGAAAATATGTTAGGTATAAATACCCTGGTGGGCAATTTTTAAGAACGTCTTCCCGACATCACTTGGATGGTTTTATACGTGACCATTATATTGGGAACACTGAAGAAGGACGAAAAATAACACATATTGTAAAGACCTTATTTTGTTCTAACCAATTATTTTTATTTAAGAAACTTTCCTTTCCCTTCTGATTTCAAGTTCCGGCCAGAATGCAAATTTAAATGATGTATATACAAATCTAAGTGAGTTCGAAAATAGTATTTAAGTAGCAGAAGTTGAAGAGTTCGCAGTAGGAGAGTTAGTTCTGAAATTATGCCGCGTGTCTGAAAGTATCTCTACAGTTGAATAGCTAATTACTTACTTTAGATTATATCGATATTCTAGGGTCGGCTTTGCTGTGTGCAGCCGATCAAGCGGTTTAGGTTGAGTAGGGGCAGCCGTGTGGCTAAAATTTAATTCATTGTGATTGTACATACTATTTTGTATTCAAGTTACTTACCCACAAGTGATGGTTAAATTTCTGAGCACCGAGTGAAAATAAAATGGTTGTTAGATCCTTCGTCTGCAGTCATTCTTCCAAGAACTACCGAGAATTCGCTACTTCGCCTTCGTAGTTCGGTAGGGTCCAAGGCCGGTACGAGGTGAAGCACGTGAGGCACTTGACTCAGGTGAACAAATACAAGGGGCGTCAAATTAGCTATTCGATCAAAAATTCAGAAAAATTTATTTTTAAAACTTATGCTTTTTTAACTTTTAATTTCGATATACATCAGTGAATATTAAAAGAATTTTGTGTTATAAACAATCCAGCTAAAAAAAAAACAAATCTTTGCAATGGGCTGAAAATGACAGCATTTTGAAACAAACAATTTAAAAATTTTATGTTTATTATCTGCGTGGAATTTAATACTACAAGAAATCTAAAAAATAAATAACGCTTTGCAGTCAAAAACTATAACTGTCCATAAATCGGCACGCTTAATAGAGGTACTATGTCTTTCATTACTGGAAATGTGAGAAAATATTTCTGAATGCATTTTTGAAAAATGTAAAACTTTAGCTTTAGAGATGAATATAGCATCAGGATTTGAAGAGAAACGAAAATGAAAAGTTAATAAATAAAATTGCGAGGAATCAATTGATATAAATTGTAGTTTTTCAGAAAAACATATTTTTATACAAATTAAAAGAAGTGTTCGACGTTTTAATTTCGCAACTGAAATGGCGATACGAAAAGTTAAATGAAATATCTTCTGGTTTTCAGTTTCTAACCGGTGAACAATTAATGTCATTAGATTGAAATAATAAGTAATTTAAAGGCAGCAGCTTAGCACTTAAATTTCCGAATGATATGAGCGCTGAAGAAATTTAGTCAGAAATATCTAGTTTTAAAAATCATGCTATTTCAATAACTCCAGATACAAAAGCAGCTACAAGTTTAGAACTTTTAAAAATAATTCACGGTTATAATTTAGTTCAGCCCAATCCGAATTTGGAAGCAGCGTTAGGAATTTTTTTAACGTTGCCAGTTACTGTAGCTAGTGGAGAATTATTTCAAGCATATTTATGTTTTATTTATACTAAATATTATTTTACATTTTTCAAAAAGCATATTTTTAATGTTTTCCATTTCAAAATTGTTAATCATTGTATATGTTTCACTTTCTGGAATATACAAAGTTATAATTAAATGTTAGATTTATTGTATTTTCATTTAAAATAGTTACTTTAATGAGTATCAAATATATATAAATATAGTTAATTTATACTCTATGTATTATTTTTATATATATATATATATATATATATATATGCGCGCTTTTTGTATAAAGTTATGTTTTCAAACATCTTTTAATATTATTTATTTATTCTCTCCCTTCCCCCTACACACAAATGGGAAGATGAACAATTTTGCATTGCACACAGGGGCGCACATTTACCTTTTTGCCTCAGGTGAAAAAATATGTAGGCACGGCTTTGGTAGGGTCTCCCAGTTTAAGCTCTCAAAACACACAAGAAGACTTTAGAATGCTTTTTGGGAGTTCGACGTCAGCTACAGTGTTGTTTCAAGGCTTTGGAAATAATTTCAAACAAATGACATACGTAGCAAACGTCACGGGAGAGGACGTGTTCGCAATGCGACGCTTGCAGAAGATAGGTACATAATGTTATCTACAAAAAGATCCAGGGCAGCACAACTATTGAGGTAGTAAATCATTACTTGCTGTTACAGGCAAGCTAATCTCCCGAAAAAATGTAGACAGACGTTTGCATCACTATATGGATGACTATATGCTCGTCGTCCTACTATGTCATTCCATTGACCAGACAGCAACATACCGCCGGTTTTCAATGGTATCGCGAGCATAGTAATTGGACTCAATAGAACTGAGTTTGTGTAGGTTCAACCTGTTACCGGATTATACACGCCAACTGATCTGGCGTGAGAGTGGTACTGCTTATCGTCTAGAAAATATCCAGAAAAGGACCTTTATCCGAGATGCAGTACCATGGTATGCGCCGGCAGTATAATCAATTTCTGCCCGCCCCTACATGTGATTGCAACTGCGACTATGTCTGGTAAACGATAGATTAATGATCTTCTGCTGCCTCATGTTCGCATGTTCCGTAAGCACTCCAATATGCAAGCACACCCTCATCAGTGCACTGACGGAGGACTAAAATAAATTACCCCAACAGCTGTTGGATAATGTTTTCAAAGTATAACACGACGCGTGGAATCTTATATCGTCTTCCATGGTGGACATACTCGAATTGACATCTTACGCCAGAATGCCTGCGGACGGTAATTGCATTTTTTTCACTTTTACGTATTCAGCACAATATGGCCAATTTGTCCCTTGAACACTTTTCAAAGCCTTATAGATTTCAGAGCACAATAAATTATCTTTATTGTTATGGCGTAGTATTCTGTCATTTTATTTCACTTGGCATCAAACGCACTTGCCTTTTAACGAGCTAAGGCTATATAGCCACTTGGATCCGTCTTTAACAGTTGTCCGCCAGTTTATTACTACATCATAATATCCTAAGAATTTTTTCCGTTAAATAATGCTACAACATTTAGGAACAGTAATTTAGATTTATTTATAGAAATTATAACATATTATTAGGCATATTATATACTACGAAATTAATATCTCTTTTTCTTACATTTTTAGTATAAAATATAGATTTGTTTTTGTTTATTATTGTTAAAATTTATGAATTGCTCAACTTTATTTTGGCAGATAACCCACGTATGCATTGTCTTGATAAGAACATTAATTAAATCAACTCATCTTTGAGCATAATGTACAGAATGAAATATACCAAGGTTTATAGAACACAGGAGAAATAATTTTTAAAAATTACATAAAATATTATGAAAGTATTGAAGCAATAACTAACAATTATCTAATTACTACAAAATTGCAGGATTATTGGAATAGTTGTTCATCTTGTCTTATTCTTTTCCGACAGGAGGAAGTTGATGATGTGATTAAAATTGTCAAAGAGCAAAATGGGAAACCCGTAAATATCACCAAATGGCTCACTTCCAGCGTTTCCAACAACGTTTCGTCTCTTCTCTTCGGAAGGCGAATGGCCGTGGATGATCCTAGAAGGCAGATCTTGGATCAGTCTGTCAACGTTGTGTCTCAGTTTTTTAAACAAACCGGAATTAGAAATTTCTTTCCTCTCGTCTGCGATGTTCTTGTGAAACTGGGCATTTCCGAATATGCTAGACTGCACAAAAAGATGGTTGACTTCAATAGCTATGTAAGGTAATTTTTTATTCTTTGCTTCTGCTGACATTGGTTCGAAACAAAAATAGTACTTAAAAAATTGTTTTTTTACAGTACTTAAAAACAAATTAATAGTATAAGGTATTTCTTCCTCATGCTTAGTAAGCCTTCGTGGTGTAATGGTCTGCACGCTCAGCGCGTAACTGCGAGGTCCGCGGTTCGATTCCCGGAGAAGGCGTTGCTAATTTTTCATCTTGCCTGCTTTTAAAAAAAAAATTCCTAATGTTTCTACAATAGTACTTCAAAAATTTTAGCTTTGCGAAAGTTAACCCAAACTAATTTAATCCAATGGCATATTAAATTCGGATTTTATACATTATTTAGTCATAAAAGTATTTCTCGGATGGTTGATTGGCTCTTTGATTGGCGGAATAGATTAGTTTCCCAAACATGTCTTTGGAAGTTAAAATAAGCACCACTGCACGTCGTGGTTCATTAATGATTATTTTCACATACACACACACGGGGAAAAAAAAAATCTGAGAGCTTTCAGATTTTATATTATGCCTAGAGGGGTGTTTTTTAACGTTTTGTGTGTTACCTTTGCCGATTAAATATCATGTTCTTCGCCGTTAAATCTTAAATTCAATTCAAGAGCAATATGACAAAATATTTTAAAGAGCTTATCTTTAGAATTTCTGATACGTAGTCTCGCGCGCTGGAGATAATTTTGTTTCTCCGTACAGTGTTGCCACTGCTCGCTTTCAAATCGCTCAATTTGTTAATAAAAAATTCTTTAATGTTTGACAAAATAGGAAACAGATAATAAAAAAATTAAAATTCCAAATTCGGGCTTCCGGATGCCCATATTCGAATGGAGGACCACGTTATTCAAAATTTGATGTCTCTAGGTGCCGTTATTTCTTCACAGTGTGAGAAACATACATACATTCATGCAGATTCCTCATTATTCCATTTCTTTAAATATAATGCAGGGCTCTAATATTTGGTGGTAACAATTTGAAAGCTGAAACGCCGTTTATAGTGAATCGGCACAAAATGCCAAAACGAAATTAATCTTAGACCTTTGTTTTCAGCTTACAAGGAATAAAATTTAAATTTTGATTCAGATGGAGGTACTTATAAAACAAAACAAACAAACAAAATAAAAATTCTCCACTATCAAAAATCAAATGTTAGTTTTAATACAGTCAGTTGGTGTCAAACTAATTTACTAGTTAGATGAATAAACAACATCTTGAACGGTTTAAGCTGAGGTCTTCCAATTTATGTTATTGCAATCTTAGCGTTCAGCAAAGTGTTTTCAACTTGCGTTTTGACTGCCTATTGCTTGATAAAGCAAGAAATCGATTGAAATGCAGATTAACCAAAATTAATTGGAATTCATTCGCCGCCGAAATGTTATGATTTTTGTATTTTCAGCTTCGGCCTACCGAGCTTTCAACGATTTTGTTGACTTTTATTTTAAACATTGTAAATAATTTCTTTATACATTTTTATATTTTTGTATTTATCTTTTTTTTCTTTGTGTATTATTTCATTGTTTTATTGAAAATTGATGTTATTACTTACAATTTTGCCTTTTTTACTTACGATTTGTAAGTCTCGTGTGATACTTTGGGGTACACAAGGATTTCTTTTTCTTTAAAAAAATTTTTTTAAATAGATGAATGAAATATTTTTGTGGGGGAGGGAGTTCGTATGTCACTTAATTGATGGGGAAGTTGGCGTTTCCAATCAACAAGATGAATGCTGATATGTTAGATTTTATATATATCTTACCTTTAAAAAGTTCTTTTGCAGAGCTGCAAACTACCAAATACTAAAAATACACTCATGTCCATAAATTAAGGATAATGCAAAATCAGGCAAAGGAAGAGTTAGAAGCAAAACAAATTTGACTTATTTGTAACGCTTATTTATTAAACAAAAGGTAAAGAGCAAAAAGAGATGCTATATGTTTGATATTATATTAAAAAAAATTAGCGATTTTTTCTCCCTGGAGCAAATTACAAAAAAAAAAAAAAAAAAAACCTATTTACAAAAAACCAATATTACATGGTTGGTATGATTGTTAATACATTGTATGTCTCCCAGACGATGCAATACAGTCCGTACAACGCCTAGGCATGCTGAGTATCAAATTATCGATCTGATCTTGGGGGATATTACACCACTCAAAAAGCAATGCTCTCCGAAGTTCCGGTAGACATGTAGGAGGAGGTTGACGGGCTGCAACTCGTCGGCAAAGCATGTCCCACACGTGCTCTACTGGATTCAAGTCCGGTGAGAATGCTGGCCAGTACATACATGTGATATCCTCCGATTGAAGGCATTCGCTTACGATGTTTGCACGGTGAGGACGGGCGTTGTCATCCATAAACACAAATTGTGCGCCAATGGCGCCCCGAAACAAACGTACATGTTGTTCCAGAATGACGTCCCGATAGATTTGGTTTGTCATAGTTCCAATTTGAACATGCAGGTCAGTTCTGGAACCCAGAATAATTCCACCCCAAACGAGCACTCCTGCACCACCGTAACGGTGTCGTTCAATGATGTTTTTGGTGGTAACGGGTACCTGGAGCTCTCCATATGAAAGTCCGGCGAGAATCAGACTGCAAGCTAAACCTGGACTCGTCGGAAAACATCACACAAGCCCACTGTTGCGGTGTCCATAATGCATACTCTCTACTCCAGGCTAACCGCAGGCGACAGAGAGTTGCAGTAAGTGGAACGCATCTGACAGATCTACGAGCATATAGACCAATCTGCCCTAAGCGTCTGTACACGATCTTCCTTGAAATTGTCGTACCAGTGGCTGAAGAGAGCTGACGAGGACAGGTCTGAGGCTGTGCTCCGACCTGTTTCTTTTGGCAGTAACTGCCAAATACCGGTCCTCATTCGGCGTTGTAACTCTGGGGCGACCTGTGCTGTAACGTCTACTCACATTACCATCATCTTGGAATCGTTGCCAAAGCCTGGAGATGACACTCTGGGCAATTCCAAGTTCTGATACTTCCAGTTGGGTACGCCCACATTCCAGACGGCCGATAATTCTACCACGTAAAAAATCATCCAAATGCGTCCTTTGTGTCATAACTATTCGATTATTGCACTGAAATGCTTATAAAGCGCCTGCGAACAATTTTACTTCTTTGCCTGTATTCCTTATATATCACTCTCTTACACTCTCGTCATTGTGACGTACCATCGGTGTCATCTGGTTACTTCCTGAAATTTGCATATGATTCTTGAAGATGTGTGTAGTGATTTTACAGGTTATATATTTTAGAGTTCGATTTCCGCGTGACTCGAATTATCCTTAATTTATGGACATGAGTGTATTTCGATTTTTAACGCAGCGAAACAATTATATAAAATGTGTTTGTAAATTTCTGCCAGATTTTTCATTGATGATTACACTTTATCATGCCATTACATTTCAGATTAACCATTTCCAGTTGAAATTTCATCAACAACTTCTTAATTGTCCAACTAAGGAGATGAAACTAAAGAAATTATTTTTGCTTTGTACCAAAGCATGAAACGCAATTGAAAATTACTTTTATCTAGAAGATTTATCGTTACAAATGCTCATCTAAATGGGCAAGTGCATACAACTGCTTAACAAAACCCAAAATGCAGGTAGTATTAGATGTTATGAAAATGACTTTTTTGCAGTAAAGTTTCGCATATAAGTATTATCTCTCTATAATTTTGGATACAATTTATTAAGCTAAGGAAAAGCGAAAGAAATATTAGGATAGTCGTTGAGGTGAGGATTAAATTTCATTTGAAAGTTGCTTATCTTTTTATGTTTGACTGCTTTCGAACATTTTATTTAGATGCTAGTTCTGCACCAACTGAGAACGCTGTATTATTATAGTAGATAGTACTTCCTCCCTTGGAGTTCCGGCTTGCATGTTAGAAGAGGTGACTCTTTTTCTGCAGTACATCACTAAATAATTAAATATTCGTTTAATCTTACGTTATGAATATACGGTAAATTCTTTTTACATTTATTATTTCTATGAGATAAAAAGTTGAGAGTATTACTGACGGATGAGGCGGCGCATTATGGACCAATGCGCCTCATCCGTCCATGATATCCGCAGGGCCACCTGCTATCTTCATCATATCTGTTGAGGAATGATGATGACCTCTTCTTTGAAAATGTTTTATTTCAGCATTTTTTGTCATACGTGTATCATTCCAATGTCATTTATGGTTTTTCATTCCACTGAACAGGCCAGGAAAAAAGTGGATGTTGCCTTTCAGAAATTTCGAAATTTTTTCACCGCAACCATAACCGTAAGAACCATATTGATTTAAATCATCACAATTTCGAGAGAATACTTTCAAATAACACTACCCGAAATTTCATTTCGATTGGTTGAGTGGATATGCCGCTAGGGTTCATATATGAAGGACGTTATGGTCATCCTGTATATTCTTCAACAAGCAATTTCCTTAATGAACGTATGGTACAAAATACAGCTGGCATAAATCATATATTCAGTTCAAGCACATAATATATTTCAATCGGTGCAAAACCCATACGACAGAAGTGAAATTAAATATCATGTACTGCTGAAGTACATATACGCTTCACAAGGCAATATGTTTTTCAAGTAGCGTAAAGCCCATACAGGGCAAAGCAAAAGCGGGATAAACTTTATGTATTCAACTGGAGCATATTTCAGCTTCAGATTTATCTGTTTCGACCAATCACATAAATTCCAAACAAATTTGTTTGAAGCACATTACGTGTGAAGGGAATAACTCTAGTTCAGAAATTTAACCGCTGCAAATGCATATACAATGCTTTTACAATGCTCAAATTCATCGCTTGTAATTTTGACATGTTTTCAAACGCTAGAAAAGAAGTTGAGCGACGTAAAAATGATTCTTCCATTGGATGTCGAGAAACATTCATAGATGGATATTTACAAGAGATGAAGAAAAGAGAAAATGATGTAAAAAATACATTTAACGGTAAGTTGTTTCAGTTGTAAAAATTTAAGATTTCTTTATTCATGGTTGTCACAAATGCATTTATAAATTGTCACGAGTTGCAGCTTAACTATCTCAGCCTTATTTTCTCATAAATATTTAAAATAAACTTGTTAAAGGCATAAAATGATAATTCCGCAATCATGTTAAATTTATTGGACATCCTATTATATTTATGCACACGGTGTTTCGAAAAGCTAAAAATCTCTTATGACAGGCTCATGTTTCCTGATTAAGAAATGCACGAAATAGTTTTAGATTACCAATTCATGGTAACAAAAATGCATCAAATTTTAATGTTTTTACGAACTTCTTACGAATACCTCATTAGTGAGTTCCTTATAACTGTGCTAAATACTTTTCAGAAGAGGGGACAGAAATTATCTGAATCATATAGTTTAAATTATTTTTCAGCCGAATATATACTACATTTATTCGCGTATTTTCACTTTTTTGGGCAGCTATCGAAAGGGGAAAATTATGCAAATAATATAATTTCCGAAGAGACAATTACAGTAAAGCAGAACAAATGAAAAATACCGATTATTCTCACAATATTATGTAAAAGGAACTTGCGTTCCAATAGGAATACATAGTAATGGTTAACATTACAGTATGCAATACGATATCTTCCTTTCTACTTCCCTACATCTTGAATCTCACCCGATCTTCTTCTTGTTCACTGCTACTCTCTAGGACTAAAATTGTGTAATGCTGCTGGAACTGCTGCTTTGGTTAATCTGGTACACTTTGCAAGTCGTCGTCATCGTCATCGTTGTTATTATCTTTGTCACATTTATGTCTGTCTTCTCACGTATTATCTTCAGAACTATCAAGAGGATTATAAATTCTCATTTCCTTAGAACTCTTCCTTATTATTCATCACGTAGAACCCGTGCACTCAAAATCGACGCGCAAATCAATTTGTAAAAAGATAACAACCACCACGTGGTGGAATTTGTTTTAAAATTTAAGGAAGCTCGCTTTCTGAAGGCCTTGATGAAAGGGAAAATTTCGAGAACACTTAACAAATTTTCAGAATCTTGTGTTGAAAGGTTAGGGAGGAAAATACGCGGGAAGGAAAAATATAAGAGTAAATACAGTGTATGTGAGTGTGTGTATACTATATATGTATACACATGACGTTTATGCGGAAAAGTACAAATAGTTTTAAATGTATCTTCTAAAAACTGAATTAGTTAGATACAAAGTTTCAAGTTTTAAAATTTCTCCAAAAGAGGGATTGAAATGATATCTCTGTCTTAGTTTTCCTGATGTAAGAGATATCTTAGTTTGAAATCTGTATTCGGAAACTTCACATGCATAGCTGTCTTTAGCTACATTTGTATTCAGTCTTAAAGGTTTTAATTAGTCATGTATTGGGCAATTTATTCGTATGAGGATTGATGCCACCCCCCGTGCCCACCGCATTTATGATTTTGACGGAGAAATATTTGTTTTTGTTGACACCTTTTATAAACTGTACTCATAAAAAATTTAAATTTAGTATTTTTTATTAAAACGCATCGCAAGATCAAAATTTCACACTCGAAAAGTATATTTTCATTTATTTCCTAACCTAAAATCATGGATACGTGGAGGACACTGGTTCAAGAGATCATATTAACTTTTCAAAACATCTTATTCCAAATGGGCTTACGCCATCTAGTTCTTCATCTGGAGCATAAGATTTCACGCCTTTGTACGCAACATTTTTAATGCAAATTAATGCAAGCGATTAAAAATTTATATCACTCTTATGAAGTTTATTTATTATTATTTAAGATACAGTATAATCTATTTTCGCGATTATTTTGCTAGTCGCCCAGAGCTATCATGCTGAAACTTGTCCATCGGCAGCCTAAACAAGTAAACAGGCAAAATTATGTAAGCAAATCGGATTAATACCCAAAAATGAAGAAAACATGAAATAATTACAAAACTGTGGCTATAATTATCGGAGTTTTGGTCCCTTGACACATAAAAAAGGCAGGTCATGAAATAGAAAGTAACATACTTTATCACAGGAAAATTAAACTCACTTTATTCAGTAACAACATCAAAACTAATCAATTTAGAGTGGCTCACTTTTGTTTTCAGACATTTGTGATTTAAAATTTTTTTACAAATATCAGTTATTTAGCTATGCTAATTAATTTTTCTTTCACAATGATGATTGATCGTCGGTTTTAAAAGCTGGTTGTTTTTTAAAATGTTTTTGTTAAAATTATAATAAATAATTTATTTAAAAAGTTCTAAGAAAGAACTCACGTTAAGTGTTCGGACACTTTGAACTAAACAACGTAAAATAAATTTCCATTAAAAATCTTTGCTTAAACAAGCAGTTTATAGAAACATGGAAACAACGGGACATTTAGTATTCCGTTGGATATCCTTTCGGTAAAATTAAACTTTTCATGTGCTTTGGCATAAATTTATTTAATTTTTTTGTGTAAAACTGTTCCTTTTTTTTTTTTTTTTTTTTTCCCCGTAAGAATTGCTTTTAAATATGTCATATTTCCTAATTCTTTTCTCCCTCCATAGATGTTGTATAGGATTTAGATAAGGAGAATATGGAGGAGTTTTGATAACTTAGTCGGACAATAACCACAATAACCAATTTAGAACTGCAGGACTAATATCATTATCCTGATAAAACTTGAATGCATTTGCATTCTATGCTTTCTTACAGATGCTTTTTAGGTTTTCACTATGAATATTTACATATTTATAAGGATTCATACCATATCCTATAAAACTATACTTTGCATCCCAAAGACAGTGAAACATCCTAAGGCACCATGGGTTTTACAAATGTCAGGCCTATTTCCGTTGTTTTCTTCTTGCTAATCGGCATTCTATCCATGTGTCCAAATGATTCTTCTGACTATTTCACTGTTAACTTTTACTGCAAACCGTTCTTCTAATTTTGCTTCGAATTTTACAGCACTAAATAGAGGTTTCGTTTGATTTTTCGTAGGATAAATCTTCGATTCTTTGACGTTAGCTTAGAATGTGGCACAGACTTCAGTACATTTTCAACAGTTTCTCGCTATTCCCATCCTTTTCTAGCCTCTGAGAACGCTATACATCTCGTACGTTTTGAATATTTCGAATTCTTTTACCATCTCTAAAACGGCGAATAAGTAAATTTCTAACAAAACTTGTCGTTAATTTGTAACGTCATGTGCACTTCAGATAATGAACTGTTAATATATTTTACTAAACAAGTAATCATTTCCAAAGCAGACATTGATTCTTCGAGTATTATTATTTGAAAAAGAAAATTGTGTTATTTTGGCAGGTACATTGTCCGTCAATATATCTCAACAAAATCTTTGATTGTCCGAATTATTCTGTGTTACTGATTAACCCTTTTGAATAAATTATTTATTACAAGAGATATTTTGACTATATATATTTTGCAACAAACACGTCTTAAAATAGATAAAATTTAATTAGATTAGAAAAACATTTGCAGTCTGTGTTTCAATATTTAGCACAAGATCTATACAAATAAACTTAAAATATGCAAAAGTGCGAGAACAAATGAGAGCTACTGTATATATTAGTAGTCATTTCGCTAATATTTAGTAGCTGATATTTTCAAATAAAGAGAAAAAAGCAAGTTTTCGAAAACAAATGTAAACAAATGTAAAAAATCGTTTGAACATTTAAAAAAGACAAAGATAACCTAGATCAAATTTTAGAAAAAGTCATTACAGAAGCTTCTGAACACCTTCTGAACAAAACTTGTGTCAAATTTCGAAGTTATCAATCTATCCGTGTCTATGCTATGCGATACATGTACACGCAAACAGATAAATTCGCTATTTTATTATTATAGATAATGGCTATCAATGATTATATATTAAGTAATATTATAGAATCAGTATTACTAGATTTTTGAACACAGCTGCAATATTTAAAGTAAAAAATGCATTTGGTATTTTTAATCTGCATTAAACAAAATAAAATCTGAAAAAAAAATTATTAAGCATAAAACATTGGACATTTTCTCAAATATTTTTTCTTAAATTAGCAAGATACTTTACAGTTTTGATTTTCTGAAGATTCAGGTACCGTATTTATTATTTTTCGCTCGCAGAATATTATTTTACGTATTTTTGTGAGCTCGCACGAGAGAAATAAAAAAGGTGAAAAGAATTATAAGGAGAATTTTGAAAAAAATTTGTTAAGAACAGTGTTTGTATTTTTCATTAATGAGTACTAAGTTATTTATATGATTACAGAGGCATTCTGATTGCGGTATAAAAAATGCTGAAATTCTACTCACTAGTAGTTTCCTTTTTTGGCCAATGTATTATTTTCTTATACTATGCTTGTCATCATAACAGTAACTAGAAATCTCAGGAAAAAAATTTCAGAGCAAAGAAAGGAAGAGAACTGCCCAGTTTTACAAGTACTGAAATTGTTAGAAAATCGCTGTGTGGTAAGCGCTGTTTCGACTCAAAGCTAAGTTGATTATTTTATAGCGGATGTAAATAATATTCGTATTAATTTACATTAATAAAATAATCATCACTACTATATTCACTATATTATATACTGTATTATATAGTAATTAGTACTACTATATTCAATTATCATAATTACTTTTTTAAGTGATTTATTAAGGTATGACATATATATGACAAATGAGCTATATTAATTACAATAATGATGAAAATATTCATGGGAATAATTTATCTTAAATATCATTAATTATACCAAACAGACAGAAAACTATTAGAAATGCAAAAATCGTCCTATTTCTCAATATTATGTTTCACTTAATGTGAATATATTGTAATTTGCTCCTTTTGTTACTGTTGTAATTTGAATGATACATTTGTTCTGTTGAAAATTGACAACAGTTCTAAGTAGCTGCGGAGGCATTTTGAAAAGCCGCGTAGCTGACTGAAACGGAAATGCCCTTGACGTAAATCATGATGACACAAAAATCAGAGATAATAGATTACACACTATCTAACTCCAAAAACGCGACATTCAGATGAAAAATTTAACTTTAGAATGAAAGACTGCAAAGCAAACAGCAATTGCACTATGTCGAAAATTTCCACTTTGGGTGATATCCTGTTATATTATTTAAATGCATCAGTATCTTACTTGGTGAAACGCTATTTCATTTTATTCGCTGATCGAATTATAATCGACGGATGAATTTAGAATTTTGGTTTAGAAAATGATAAATAACATTAACTTTCTGAAAAAGCGGAATAATGAAAAGGGTTGTGTAATACAGCAGGGAAAAAGGGATAAACTGCATATTTTCGGTACAGTTTTTGAATATGTCCAGAAAATAATGATGATCAATTAATTGTTCATGATTAACAGTAAATAAATGCATTCTAAAAAAGGTTAAAATTAGTATTTCAATTAAATTTCCAATTTGAAATTTTGTGTTGAAAAGAAATACTTTTTAATAACCCCGGTTTCCTTTTTGAACGTCAGGATGTAAAATTGAAAAAAAAATATTATATATTATTACTGCACCTTCATAGATAGGAATCTCTACGGCAATTTGCAAGCTATCTTTATCGGTGGAAGTGACACGACGAGAACTTCTATCAACTGGCTTCTTCTAGTCATGGCGAAGTTTTCGAACATCCAGAGGAAAGTTCAAGAGGAAATAGACAGAGTATTGGGAAAAGATGGCAAAATCACTTGGTCCGAAAGAACCTCATTACCTTACACTTTCGCTGTAATCATGGAAGGACAAAGATGGAAGACCATTGCTCCTCTCAACACATCGAGAATGTGAGTAGCATGTAACTTAAAGATTAAGCAATAATCGTCTGTTCTTTTGTTAACCTAATATTTTACTTGTTGAATACAGGATTCACCAATTGCTTTCAAATTTTGAAAAGTTCTCCCATTGAGAAATTTTTAATGTAGCAAGGACTGCTCAAAGACTTCTCTGGCGCCATCAATAAGACTGAGATATCTCAGGTTAGAATCCTAGTTGAAAAAAATCTATGCAAACAAATTAACAGTATATATTCTTTTTTTCTATGAACTTCTCAAAAACCAATAATCGTACATTGTATCAGTGAAATAAGGAAAATTAGATTCTGTTAAAAAAAAGCAGAAGTCCTATTCTTCCTATTTTTATCCACTGAAAAAACGCATATTAAATTGTATAAGAAATTATGCTGTAATTGGTATTTTACCCAGGACTATTTCCATGCGAAAAGGGTCTTCGCAGGGAAATAGTCCTGGGAATTTATTTCCCTGCGTAAAACTTCTGAACCACTAAACTCAGTAGATTTTTCCGGATAATCTTTGTTTTTTAACGAAACTGAGTAGTTTCCCTCTTAGATTTTAATTTAATCTGATTAGGGACATACTCCCTTTTTTTATATAAGATAGTTCATGCCTTGAAATATCGGCGAAAAGACTTCGTATTCTTTTTGCATAATGATTATAGATGAATGATTTTTCTATTAACTTTATATTTAACTAGCGGAAGTAAGTACCCGATGCCAGTTAAGTTAGATTGAGAATAATGTATTATTTTACTAATGACATCATTTGAAAATTCGTATAATAGCATATTACACGTCTTAAGGAATATGATGCGCTATTGTAATGCATTAAAAATGCCAAAGAAACAAAGTAATATTCAATACATGTACTACAATACATGTACTACGTGATCATATAATCATATGGTATTATATACCTATATGACATATAGAATTGTCATTTGGGTCTCAAAATTAAAAACAAATACATCATTATTTTAACCAAAAAAATACCATTCATAGTCATACATTTTTCAGTCTGATGCGATATGGAACCCACATAAATATTTCGATAGAAATATAAACTAATTCTGTCTCATTATATCAGCAACAATGGCTGCTGCTGATATATCACTGTTGCCATTGTTGCTGATATCAACACTGTTGCCACTCGGAAAAATGAGGGCGAAAATTAGCGTTTTAAGCGTTTTTAATTAATATGCCTAAGTTTAGCTATTTTATTAATTAATTAATTATTATTATTGAAAAAAAGTGGACGTCCACCTTTTTCAGAACCCAGAAAATAATTGTAGAAAGTTAAGAGAGGTTATAGTGAATTAAATTTAGAAGTTTGCTTTCATATTTTTATCTTACATATATATTTTTTGAAATATCAAGATAGAAGGTAATATAAAATTATCTATGCACATTTCCTACGGCTTCTATAAATTACTGAATTCTTCGTAAGAAATTTATAAAACCAGAAAATTACAAAACAGTAAATTCCTCGGCGTTTTTGCAATATTTTAATGTAAATCTCTCTTTTTTTTTCTTTGTTCTTAATTTTCTGAAGGACAACATCACTTTTCACATGTGTTTTTATAGTCTCTTTTTCGTAAAGGAACTTATTACAGTTTTGGCTCCTTTTCAGTGCAATGGAAGACATAAAAATTGGTGGATATGATATTCCAAACGGTACAACAATCATCGCCAACAACTGGGGACTCCATAACGATCCCAAATATTGGAAAGATCCGGACAACTTTGAACCGGAACGATTTTTATTGAATGACGGGAAACAAGTGAATTTCAAATCTGAAAGCTACGTCCCATTTTCTTACGGTAAGTGGCAGAATCATTACATTTCTTGAAGGTGATGTAACATCACATAGCTCGTTAAATTATGGCTCTTAATATTACATGTTTCGTTAAATTTTTAGTATTCAATGAAATTTTCTTTCAGCATTTATTAGCTCTACCTTACCTATTTGGTAATAAAAAGTAAAAATCCAATGTGCCCATTTTAAGTTAGTTGGTTGGATTGATTTACAAGGGAAGGGGTGCCTTTGCAGAAAGAAATTGACGTGTATCTACTTAATAAAGTAAAATGCCTTCTAACCGGCACCCAATCAACTACCAATATCAAATTATGGCACTTTTAAAAGTCTAGATTTAAATCCGAAATTTAGGCCTGTGATATAAAAAAATCTGATGTGTACACCACATAACTTCCTTGCACGAATATTAAATTATACGCATTTTTTCCTGCATTTCATTTAAACGTATTTCCTCGAATTTTATTAGAGGTATATTTCTCATTCAATTAATTCAGTTCTCACGTCGCGAAAAGGCAAAAATTCATAAAATCCAAAATATCTAAATATATTAAAAATTTAAAAATATAGAAAAACATAAAATAACAAATACAATTAAAATAACTTTTAAAAGTTTTACAAATAAATTACAGTTTCTACACAAAAATAAGCAATTCAGACTGCGGGCAAGAAGGCAGATTTTTTCGGGGCACAAAACTGAAAGTTTATTTTTGATCTCACTCGGCAAAGAGACACTGAGGGAGTAGAAACTTAATTTGTCGTGGAAGCTGAGTCAATATATGGGATAATTTAATAACTTAAATGTTAATTCTAGAATAGATTAAGCATGATTAATTCGCAATAATAAAAGAAGACGTTACTTTGTTGTTGTAAAGATTAGTTTCTCAAGATTGGCAAAAGTCCAATATTCTGCCATGTTTTAAATGCGAACAAATATGGCTGCTATGGTAAAAATTTAGGCTTAGCCGCACTTAAACGACTTTTAAACTGTTGATAATTCTACAACTATAATATGCAGGTTAACTAAATGCCTGGACACCTTAACCGAAAGATAAGAACAACATAATGCAATCATTTTTAAAGCAAAAAAATGCACAATTTGCCAACATATAAGAATAAAAATACTGAGCTCACGGAGCCGAGTAACAGAGTGGGTATATATGTATATATATATATTTATTTAAATACTTTTGGTGCGGTCGATTGCTACCGACAAGGAAGATGCACATCTACATGCTGTAGCAGTCCTATATGCAAAATTTCAACATTCTGAGGCTACTCGTTTTTGAGTTACGCTCTATACATATATACGTACGCACAGCCACCACGAAAAAAATCTCTTCTGAATCCATTTTAAATCAGTTTTATAATTCGTTTGGGAAAATAAGTCCTTTATTGTGTCCTTACTTACAGACGTCAAGCAAAAGCATCGTTAAATTCCATTCGATAGCGGTCAAAATGGATATTTTCGTTGAAATATGATACCCGGAATTTTTCGTGATTACAATACTTCCTTTACTTCGTACAAGGAGGTAAAAAACGATTCTGTTGTATAATTCAATAAAAATTATTTGAAACCACTCACAAATTAGAGAAACGGGTTTGGAGTGCGAATTTGAACGAAAATCAATTGAACTGAGATCGACCATTTCCCTGATGAATTCCGAATTCAGAGCAATTTATTATTGTTACACCATTTTTTAAAATTTAAACAAAGCTAAAAAAATTTTTACTCAGTTTTTTTCCCCTCGAAATACCGGTTTTATGTCTTTCATTTTGGAGTTACGGACCTAGGATGTGGAATATGAATTTATTTCAAGCTTAAATACGAATTATTAAAGCTGCTTTGATATCTATTTTTCACTAAATTCTATTCATATTTGTTGTTCAAATTATGAATGTTGATTAAAATATGAGAGAAAAAATGATTACTCAAATTTTAAAACCTCTTTCAAATTAAAACGGATTTAATACAGCAGTTTAGTATTATTCAGGATTTATGCACAAGTTTATAATGCTTGTATTATGACTGGAATGTTATCTGGAATTCTTTAGCTTCTAGATTTTTCTGCGGTTCATACTGAAAGTCTTTTTTGGAATCAAAACAGCTCCTATTCAATTTGGATTTCATTGCAGGCAATTTAAAACGTCCTAAATGCCGAATTGCTTGATAGAAAGGATGATGGAATGCAGTGAAATTTTTTTGATTGAAAAAAAAAAAAAAAAAAGATTTAATCTTCTCTACTTCGTGGCGTAACTTAGGCGAAGCAATGCAGAGATCTTTTGCGGTGATCTTAACGGCTTCAGCCATCACTACAAAATGCTGCACTGATTATCTGCTGATGAGGAGAAATTCTAGGAGCATAATGCCCTCGCAGCGTAAAAAAATTATCAACATTGTTTTTGCTGCATCCTTTTTTTTTTTTTTTTTTTTTTTTTTTTAACCTCTCTAGTTCTAAAAGATTTGGAGGTCCTTTACAATGACTCCTGTAATTTCGATTTAAAAGTATTGATTATTACTCATATTTTTATCTTGTGGGATGGCTGTGGAGTACATTTAGACCGAATCGAGGAAGATATTAAATAGCTGTATAACAGAAGTAAAAATTCCCTCAACATGACAAGAATGCATCATTTCCATGAACCTTTGATTTCAAGAATTTTACACAGTTATTTAAGGTCCTATGATCATTCATTTCTTCTGATTGGACGACTTACACAAAATGTCGAACGCAAATTTCCCCCATTGTTGTAAAAAATTTCGGATAGAGACCTGGCCGTCAAAATAGTTCTGGAAAGACATATTTCTAGGAGAAGTGCCAACTGCATTTTGCTCTCGCAAGTGTGATCTATTTCTTAGCACACTTTCAATTAAAGGATTTCTAGGTAGCATCCATCCAGGCCTCAAACACTAAAACTGATTCATAAAGGCAGAAAAAGGCTGCTGTGAAGCGGATGCAAAAAGTGTTGTGAACATTTACTTTCCACCCTGATCGAGGAAATTCATTTCTTTCTTCTGCACAATGCAATTGAAAAGTGTTACCGTATATACCCACGTATAAGTCCAGATATTTTGGGCAAAACAAAAGACTTCAAAGTGGGGGGGGGGAGTCGACTTATACGCTTGGCCATAAAAAATTAAAAGAATCGGAAGTTCAAAAATTTCTTTATATAACGCAGTGGTTTTCTTCCCGCACTCAAATTGGACAAATTATCAAATAAGTCACTTACTTGAAGTAATTTCATGACTTAAATTATGGGACGAACTAATCACAGAATTTCATACTTTAACTAGAGTAAGTTTCGATTAAACCAAAGAATTTTCGGAAAAGTAGTTTTTACGTACGTATAAGTCTTTATAATAGTTATCAGGACTTGTGTTCCTCTTGACTTGCTTTGGAAACATGAACTGTCCTGACTCGGAACAGGGAGCGACTAAGCTATGTTCAATAAATTGTGAAGTAGACAATACACACAGGAAGGGATACGAAACCCTTATTTTTCTATCTTTAAGGTATTTCCGGAACTTCGGAATACAGAGACCAACTACTTGTGGTCTGAACGTAAGATATATAAAACTACTAACTAAAACTTTTGAAATTAGTATACAAGTGCCTAGCATAAGATGGCCTTTATTTAACAAAGGTCCGTATGTAGTACTCCGAGCTGCTAAAACTATGATACGTTTGAATTATCAAGAGACTACACCTCTAGCCTTGATGCAACCAGCAACCGAGTGAAAACTCGTAAAACTACTATGGCAAGCGGCTTGCTTCCAATAA